TTGCTTCTCAATAGAAATCCTTTCAATCAATAGCAAAAATTTGGAGAAAATCAAAGTAAACCCTTTATCAAATTCTCATATTTAGAACTGACGGTGGTATAAGTAAGTTGGATTGTTCGCAAATAATATTAAACTTAACCTCACTAATAAGAGTTGATTCAGTTGGTAAGGAGTCGACTCATAACTCATAAAATTGTGAGTTCGAATCCCGCTACTAATGTGAGGACCTTGTTGGTGGGCAACCTGTAAGTACTTCTGTAAGCGCTTTTTGAATCTGGAGGCACGCCGTAGCCCTTGTGAGTCCCTGGAATCCAACTCACTTAATTGTTTTTTTTACCCAGAAAAAATTAAACTTAGCTTCATTGTTGTAATAAAATTAAAGTGGGTAACACTCCTAACTTAAATACAGGCGAAAATCGTGCTGGGTCGCCCTTGATTTTGCGCCGTTAGAGGCTGAATTATTAGTGGTACTTCGCTGATAAATTCTGACTTTGATTTCCAGAATAATTCAGCGATTCTAGCAAGTCTTGCCTATGATTTTCGAATTTCGACAGATCGAGTCTGATATAAATCGACTGAATATAGGAGGACATATATTAACGTGGATCGATTTCACTGGGAAATATATTTATATTTTTTTTAACATGATCAGGTGGAATGAATTCGACTGGGTCTGCTAGCTTATCAACATGCTTAAAAATCAAACAAAGAAAAAAGTGACGTAAAAAGGGCAGTTATATTTTTATAATAAAGTTAGAGTTTTGAAGATCGGTCCAAAGATATAAAAGGAAAGAAAAGAAAAGAAAAGAAAAAAATTACTAAAAACCAGGTAATTGGCAAGGCAGCTACTTAAGCCTCAATATATGTGTCTTGGGTGGTGTTTGGCAACAACTTAAATGTATATTTTTTCGTAAAAAAAAAATAAACTCTTTTATATATTTACTTTTTATACTATAAAAATATTTTTAAAATTATAATTTAATTTTTACCCAGATATCCCTGATTATTTCAGATTGAAACAGCCTATGGGTATCGAGTTTGACGGGGAAACAGATCTGGATTCAGGACTAATATATATGCCATGGCCGTCCTTTCTGATTAATCCACGTACTATATACATATACATACATATATTATATTATATATATCAAGTTTCTATGAGGGGATAAAAATAATAAGAATATGTATAGCTCGCCGCCATCATCATTATATTCTTCTTCCACCATTATCAAGATGCTGATTATTTTCATAACTTGAACGGCTGTGCTGAGTTTTCAGATTCAACAAAAATTATATATTTTTGGTTGTGGGAGCTGCTAGGCCGGCTGCCCCGGGGAACATCTCTGGATTAACGTACGGTTGGGAAAGCGCGGGAAGCTAACACGATTACTTATCGTACTAACGTGTGGGATCGGAATTGATGTCCTCCAAGACGTTAGAGGGACATGCATGTGTGGATTAATTAATGACGCGACGTGTCGTTGGAGTTGATGATCATGTCAGTGTTGCTAAGTTATGGAAGTACTGTTAATTTATTTTATACTACTAAATATATATATAATAGACCTAATTAAGGACAATTTTATTAATGATACGGTACACGAAAACACCGACACCCATGCATGTATGCACGTAGATATGAAGGGCTTGAATTTAAATCTTATCAATTTTAAAATTAGCACATCTCTCCCGCGCAAGAATACAAATCAAAATACACAACCAAAGTCGCTTGAAATAAGATCAATATACTACCTCCGATTCTAAATAAGAGTTAGTTGATTAATTTGAGTAAATTAAGAAAATAAATTAAGTTAATTATTTGTAATAAATAGATGTTGTCTTCTCTAAAATATCCTTATTAATTAAGTGTATTGACTAGAACTACTATTATTAGAATGACTACCTTTGGAAAAAATACATAAATATGAGAGACAAAGTTGATTGGGGTTTTATATTTAAAACTAAAATAAAAATCAAATGAAGTTTCATATTAAAGACTGGAGGCAATATTAAATTCGAACTATGTGGCAAAAAGAAAAAAAAAATTGAACTATATATCTATTGACATATGAAAACGGAATACTCACAAAAACAAAACAACAGCTTATACCGGCAGCCAACAAATGGCACCGCAGAGGATGAGATCCCCAATCAATCTGTAGGCCCAAGCCCATTATAGGGCTGAGATTGGGCTTCTGAAGTACTTCCAGCCCATAAAATAGAATGGCCGCAACTCACGCCCAACCTGTTGAAGACACGTTTCTCGAGGAAAGTGTGCGTTGAGCCTAAGCATACACCTGTCCATTTATTACTCGTGTCTTGCAAGGCCTGGTCATCCAAGCTAATATAATACACTAATAAATGTTTAACTTCCTATTTGCGTCAGGCATTTTTCTTTGTTACTATCATAAGCGTCCTTAATAATCAGATAAACAAACTGCAGTTACTTAATTGCCATTTTCCCTAAAATATTTCACATTAAAAGCTGGTATTTTCAACAACCATATATAGGTATAATTAACCTCTTATTTTCCCTTAAAATACTGCTTCTAAGTGATGGCATATAATTGAAGTTAAAAGAAAAAGGTATTTAATTGAGGACAAGAATTGAAAAATAAACAACTTTTTTTGGCATTATTTAAATTTCAATACCGTGTTTGTCGTTGTCCCCCTTTATTGACTTGGGGCGAGCGTAAGATAAGAATTAAGAAGTTCAATTCATTTACGGAGTGACCTTAAATTTGTCATATGTTTAAAATGTTTGTCTCTTTGGAATTGTGTTTTTTTGTAGGAAATTGTCACTTTAGAATTTTAATAATTATTAATTATCTTTTATAATTTCTCCTTAATTGACGACAATAATCATAAACTGTCTAAAATCCCCTCTTTATCATTTTTATCGATAAATGGCGAATGCAAATTCTCTCTTCTCCATTTACTTTTCATATTAAAGTTCAAATTCTCACACGCACATTCGGAAATCACACACTTATATATGGATCATGATATTTAATACATACACATACATACCTATGTATAATATTACCTTTGATCCTAATTATAAGAGGTCTTATAATTAGAATCGGAAGTAGTATTTTTTTCGTTCATGATCAATGCTTGGGCAGTACGGATTATGAACTCAAGACGCAGTTGACAAGGCCAGGGATGGGAACATTCATGAAATTGTCTCTCCAATCGATATTTTTTGGATCAAACTCCAACTCAAATCCCACATCCTTTACCATCTTCGCTGATGTTCTAATTTTTCTGTGTTTGTGTCATCAAAGCTGTTAAATTAAAACATTAATTCGAAGTTAATCATCGCTTCAAATATATACATACGTGCGGATCACAAGCAGGCATACTTTTTAATTAATAGAGAGGGAGGGGGAAGGCAATAAAAAATACCTGAGATTACACAAATTTAAACAATGGAACACACAAGCCCCTCCCCCCTTGGGGGCTCCGGTTCTCTCCTAGGGTTTCCTTGTGAGAGTTTGTTTCTCTCCTTTGTGAGAGTTTAGTTTCCGGCGCTTTCTCCGGCCATCGCCTGGGAAGGATGTTCGGCTGTGTGTGTGTGAGTGCTGGTGTGCATCGTCTCTCTCCCTATTCGCTAGATCTGTTTGCAGATGAGCAGGCTCTGGAGATGTTGAAGAAAGGAAGGAAAACAGAATATACTAAGGTGATAGTGAAGAGATCGAGGATCGGCAATGAGCATCTTGGTTGTGAGTTAGAAAATTCGAAGTACGATATGCAGAACCATAGTAGCATTCAGGGAGGTAAAGATCGCTCTCTTGCAGAAACCGCAGAACAAATAGCAAAAAATTTGAGGATGCATAGTTTAATGATTGAGATGAAGAACCCAAAGGACAACAAATATAATCAGAATTCAAGAGAACGATTGTGGCCGATCGTCGAAGTTTTTTTGATGATTTGTTTCTATCATTCTGGAGGCACTTCTAGATCTTTGTTTAATCAATCATCATAGCTAGTTCTAAGAATGTTTGTTTTCATCTTCAATGCTCGTTTATCTGTCTTTGCAAAGGACAACCATCCAGGACAATGGACTTCGGTGGAGGAAAAGAGCTATCAGATGAGGAATGATGCTATGTTTAACCTGTTCTTAGAATCATCATGGTATGATTTCTTGAAGATTATTTCCCCAAAGTTAATTGAGCATCTATACTGGATTTATTGCTTTGATGTGGCTAATAACATGTGGCGTAATAGAGTCTCTGGCTTTGGATTTTATGAATATGGTGAGGAAACAGGGGATGGCTTGGGTTGTGACTCTAGTATTGATGGTGATTTTCTTGATGTTAAAAATGCTGCTGGTTTGATGTTTCGTTGTTATGGTTGGGATGGAAGACTATTTGGAACTTATGCAGTGATTGTTCGAAGGATTAAAGAGGATTTAAGATGGGTTCCACCAAGAGTAGAGCATTGTTCTGCTATCTCATTACTTCTGTTAAAGTTGATGGTCAACAAGATTTATCCTCTAGTTTTTGGAATAAATCTCTCCCTGTGGATAAGGTTGTGTTGTTGTAGTCCTAGTAAAATCCTTATTGAGCTGAAAGTTTTCAATAACTTTCAGTGTTCTTCTTTCCCTCTTGGTATGAGAGGGGCTGTTAAAGCTGCTAATGAAAATGCAGCATTGGCACATAGAGGGTTGGGCTCAATGTTTGAGCAAGTCATACGACAACCACCCTTTCTCGCCGTTGTCAAGGATTATAGGACAGAACTTTGCAGTCTTATCTTTTGGGAGATCTGTGAATTTGCTTTGCAGTATTGTGGTGTGTTAGGTGGCTCTGTTTGTAGTTTTTAGAGTTAAGTTTGATGTATTTCGGTGGCTAGCTACTTCTTTTAGGTTGGTGTTTGTAATAACTTTGTTGTTTGAATGAATGAATTCTTCTTCTGGCCAAAAAAAAAAAAAAAGGGAGGGGGAAAAAAAAAGTTACGAGACATACGATGCCCTAAAGAATACACAAGGTTTGTAAAGTTCAACCACTCGTATCACCATCTTCATTTTCTTGTGATTTTGGCTGTAAGAATCCTGGAACATCTGGCAACACACTTTGTTCCCCAGATATAATACCTTGCACATTTAAAATACTAATTAGCATTAAAAAAGCCTCATGATATACGAGAGGTTTAGCTCTGTAATTTCAATTAATTACCTTGAGGGGAAGCACATATCGTATCATCAGAAGTGCCCGGAAACTAGTCATACTTGTCAGAAGAACTCCCTTGGGCACAATAATTGGCTTCCCACTTTTATTAGTGCAGGGCTTGTTCTTGAAATAAAGATACGTGAGGTCGTGGACATAAGAAATCCCAAGAGGATTTCTAAACGATGAACCCACATGGTAAATATACTTCTCTGAAGCTTTGTTTGAGTGAATCACCATTGCTGCCAACATGCAGTTTATCACCATATCCGCGGGTATCTGCAAATTTTCATATATATCCTCCGCATTTAATTAGTTCGAATTGAGCCTCGAAATGATTAATTGTAGAAGAATTCTTGGTGAAAGTTAAAAAAGAATACGTTGCAATATAGAGTAATTAGTTAAAAAGCCTATCAAAACTTACCAGATCTATAATGGTCTTGGGATGACCAAGAAAGCATGATAATTTCCCTTTCCCATAGCTCCCAATAACACTATCAAGTGTTCTGTAAAGTTTAAACCAAAACAACAGGATTTCACATTTGCTTAAAATTTAGGACTACTGGAATATATAGATTGATGGAATATCTAATTTACATTTAGTGTATATTGGGGCAGAAGGGAACATATATAGACCTCAAACCTTCGATCCAGGCTGGGAAGGGTTCTTTGTAGGTACTAGTGATCATAGTAGGACGTATGATGACTAAGGGAGTGTCTTGTTTATGTTGTGACAGCAACATCTCTCCCATTGCTTTTGTCAATACGTATGTATTTGGCCATCCATACAAATTTGCTCTGCTTTTTGAAATAATTAACCATTGCTTTTGAAATAACCACCCATTTCATGTAACAAAAAATGGAAGAAGAAAAAGGAAGATTATGTGCGTGATCAAACGACATGGATGACTAGGAGTTTGAAAGACAACCTCTTAATTCCAAATTCTTTCATTGCAGATCTGATGGCCTTTTCGTCGCCAGTATACTGTGATTTGAGTTCTATTCTTTTCTCCATCAATTTCTTTTCTGCTTCAATGTCCAACATTTTTGAGATCCCTTTCAGGGTTTGGCCCATCTCAAAAGGTTCCTCTTTAATTAGTTTCCCTTCCATAACCTCTCCACAAACATAAGCTGAAATTAGCAGCACTAAAAACGTTAGCAGCATGTGGTAAGGCTTTTGACAACCATGGAAATGAAATGCCCAAATAAAATTGAGGGAAACAGATCCTATCTGGCTAGGTGTTTTATGTTGGGATTTCTAAATGCACAAAATGAATGCAACCCCCCCACTTTCAATTTGAGGAGGACTTACCAACTCCTTGCTTGTTCATTAACTTGATATTGAAATTTGAAAGTGACGACACTTGTGTATTTTAATCTTATCTCTCCTAACAAGGATTCATCCCATAAATGATGAGTAGATCTAGCTATATGCCAAGATAAGTTTTGCAGTAAAATAGATGATGCTATGTATCCACACACATACGCACACACTCTTATCCAAACAACCTACCAGTTGAAACGTGGAGAAAAACATGTACTTTATGGCAGCACTTTGAGAAGTTTAAGACATTCAAAGCCCCCATTTTGTTGGTACCCATTGCAATGTCATATCTGCGTGAATAACTTAATCATCGAATTGAGTAACCTCTGGAGAATTATCTCAAATACACTTGAAATTTTCAAGAATCACGAAACAAAATGTAATTAAACCGAAAAAAAAGACACATACACACACACACACTCGTTTTAATCCGAAAAGAAGAAGATGTTTCCTCTAGCTAGTACCGTTCATCAAATCTGGTAGTTGCAGTGAAGTTGACAATAATGTCTATTTCTTGGCACAACTTCTCAAGATTTGCATCATTTAGTCCAAAGTTCACCAAAGGAACATCTCCTGCAACCGCGGCTACCTTTTCCGATATGATGGAATCAAACTTTGCACCCCACTTATCTCGTAGAACCCGAAACAAGTCCTTCATTATAATCTGTATGTATATACCCATCCTCGTTTTTAGCCAGATACTATATCTAGGTTCCCGTTAAAATCCATAAAAAGACTTGAGAGTTTATGTACGTACCTCATCATGCATGCGTTGAGCGGCTGTGTCGGCATCAGAAGATCTTATAAGAAGGTACAATTTCTTCAAATCTGATTGAGTCCTTAACAACTTCTCTACAAATGCTGTGACATTTCAAATTATTACTTTGTTACCTATACGCGACAACTTACATGCACAGAAATTTGAAAGATCCATGGGATTTTTATATATAACCTTTTGCCAAGAAGCCTGTCGCACCAGTCACCATTATGGTCTTTCCCTTGACAAACTGTTACAAACTAGTGAACTCCATTTCGAAGAGGGAGATCGATCGAGCCAATCAAGTTCCTAGCTATACGATCGAAGACTCGTACAAAAATATTTTCTTCCAAAGATTGTACTTATAGCCTGTTGTTTGAAACATAATCTACTCATCAACATTAAATTAGCAAGCTAAGGTTGTTGGAACACACTTTATAGTCGGTTGGGAGACGAGGTCATCCAATCAAATTACTATCATATAACAACGTGCACACTTAAGATATTTTGTCTGTGTTGATACACTCTTACCATGACTGAAATGTATTTAACATTTTTTTTCTAAATACATTTAAAGTATTTGAACCCTAAGGCCTTAGACTCTCCACTTGTACCCCATTCCATCCTTGCCGGCCACCTATGACATACAAATGGCTGAAATGCGTTTAATCTTTCAAAGTTACACATAGCTCTTCGTTTCACTTGCCACGATCATTTTCTTCAATTCTTCCTTGTTTAACTGGCTTTAAAGTACTAATAATTCGTCTAGAATATCTAGAAAAAGCAAATTCTGAATTACAATAATTTTTGTTCTAATTAACTCAGTTGCCTAGTTCTACTTGCGAGCATAAATAGTGGAGAAGTGCGTTTTCAGGCTTTGATGATGATGATTTTCTTGCCTTTTAGTGGTTTGCTGTGTTGTTGGCTCTACCATGCAAATTATTTTATCTGGTTTTAAATATAAAACTCATTTTGTAGTGTAAATTATACTATAAACCCACATCTATAGACCTAATTAAAAGTTGAGATCCCTTCAATAATGAATGCCATGTGAGTGTCGGAGTGAAACGTGTTTGATTAATTGCGTGGTTGCCCTCTCCCTTGAGTTCCTTTCCATTATTAATGGACCACACGTTGTTGATATATAAATGAGGTCTTATAATGAAGATCGAAAATAATGATAATGATAATAATAATGATGATGATGATAATAATAAGAAAAAATTAATATTGCAATCCTTATAATTTTGTCCGGTTTTAAATCAGGTCTTATAGTATTTTTCTTTTTATTTCATCTTTCCTTTTTGCTCCGTTATCTGTGCCAGCCATTTCGTTTACTGATGCTGTTAGTTTTAGACAGGAGTGATCTAACTGAGCAGCTACTGACATGGAAAGAAGAAAAGATTGATTGTGGAAGAAAGAGAGTCCGTAAAAAATAAAAAGCTTCCTTTAATTTCCTTTCCCATGCTCTCTTCTCTATCCCCACTCACCACTCCCCTTACTCTTCCTCCTCCTCCCTTCTCTCTCTAAACCCCCCACAAAATCACATCCCCCGCATCCCATCTTTCCCCTTCACTAAACTGTACGTTATTATAATTGATGGGTGATTGTGAAAATTCCCCACATCCCATCTTTTACGGGTGCAGTTTGGATGAGGGAAGAAAGGAAAAAACCGAGCTCAGTCTCATTTGCCTCCTCTCACTACTGTAAATATCATTAGGCTTATCGACCACGGCAAGACAACTCTACCACTGTTCTCACCATGGCTTTAGCAGTTTTCGAAAACAGTGCTTCTCAGATGGATGTTTGCATCGCCGTCGGTCCAATGCCGCAGACTGAGAAGCATATGCTTTTGGGTAAGCAAGTGGGTGTTCAAAATATATAGGGTCATGTTCCTAAATAAGCAAGACCGGGTTGATGACGAGGAGCTTTTCTGTAGCCTGTGAAATTGGAGGTTCATGTCTTATGAATTCCCAGTAATGATGTTCCCTTGGCTCTCTTTCTTCTGCCATCTTAGTCATTCTCATTCTTTCCTTGTCATGCTAGCAAGTGCTTAGTCAGATCACCACATCACTCTTAGTCAACTCAAACTACGGCGTATGTATGTTTCAGTGACAGAAAGACTGGCACATATAAAGAAACGAACAATAAGGATGAAATAGAAAAAATAATAATAATAAGGACTTGTTCAAAACCCCTTAAAACTATAGGGAATCCCGTATTAGTTTTCCCAAATAATAATAGTCCCTCGACGCTTTGTCCTTTATATGTGTGTGTGTGTGTATAAATAGATGCCAGATGAAAAAAAGTAAATACTGGTAGGAATTCTGAATTTTATTCAGTGTTAATAGGGTTCTAAGAGATTTCATATAATTACACAACTCAACTTAATAAATATGGAAGCTTGATTTATGAACACCAATCTTGTAAATGACGCAATTTAGTTTATAAATATAAAAGTCTCACTTATAAATATTAAATCATTTGGGTCAAATTCGGATCCCCCTTGCATTTGTATTTAACTTTTTTTTTACTTCGTACTTACGTGTAATTTTTTATTTTTTAAAAAAATTATAATTTGATTTTCAATAATAGTATTATAAAAATTTAAAAAGTAAAGTTCTAGTTCGAATTTCGTTTCGTATTTTTACGGGATTTACTGCAACAGTGCAACTGAATACAATTCAAAGCTAAAATAAAAAAAAACACATTAGATAACTATTAACAACTATCAAATTACAATAATAAACGAAAATGAAAATATAATATAAAATTTATAAATCAAAATAAACTTAAATATCGCCAAGGTTCTAACGATTAAAAATGAAATTTATGAAAAAATAAACTGAAAATATACCGTTCCTTTACGGGCGGCAGGCTACTGTGGGCGTAGTCGTTTAAAGCGCGAGTCGACTCGGTTTGTGGCGGCGTTTGCGTTTCTCTACATGAAAATCCAGTGAAATCGCTCACTGAAACGCAAGCTACTCGGACTCGGAGCGACTCGCTTATTCATGTTGTAAGTCGAACCGATTGAACGAGTTATACGCAAATCACCCTTCTGGGATTCCTATTATTACTTCATATTATCTCCGGTCCTAAATATAAAAGCTAAAAAATAAGTTGAGTTAGTTATTTATAATAAATATATATTTTCTTTCCTAAAATATCATTATTTATCAAGTTTATTGGTTAGAACTACCATTATTAGAAAGACTGTTTTGAAAAAAAATAAATAGATATAAGAGATAAAATGGATCATGATCTTATATTTAAGATCAAAATACAAATCAAACAAAGTCTTACATTAAGGACCGAAGGTAGTAGTACTTATAATATATCATTAATTGGTTCTTTTCCCCTCAGCTTCATCAGTATCTGGGCAATCTGGGAGATGAATTAATTGTGTAGTTGACGAGGCCAGGAATGTGGACATTCAGCAAATAGTCTCTCCAATCTATGCTCTTGGGGTCAAACTCCAAATCAAATCCAACATCCTTTAGAATCTTTGATGATTTTTCTCGTAATTCTTCAGTGTGCCTATCATCAAACCTGTTACAATATTATATTAAAACATTAACTCGAAGTTAGCCACTACTACTTACTATTTCAAATAAGTGGGTGCAAATTTGAATGAATAATAGAGAAAAAGCGAACAAGAAACATACAGTGCCTTGAAAAATACATAGGGTTTGTAGAGTTGGGCCATTCGCATCACAGTTTTGATTTTTCTATCATTTCGATTATAAACATCTCGGAAGATCTGGCAAAACACTTGGTTCACCACATATAATACCTCGCAACCAAATCATCATGCCAAAAATGATTAATGGGTATAAAATTAAAAAAACTAAGTACAAGAAGTTAGTTAATTAGGAAGCTCAATATACGCTCGTACCTTGAGGGGGAGAACATATCGGGTCATCATGTGAGCATGGAAACTACCCATAGTTGATAAAAAGAATGCCTTGGATATGATTATTGGCTTTCCACTTTTGTAATCAGTCAAGGGTTTGTTTTTGAAATAAAGGTAAGAAAGATGATGGAAACAGGAAATTGTGAGAGAATTTCTTAATGATGAACTGACATGGTATATGTATTTGTCTGATGACTGAATAGCCATTGCCGACAGCATACAGTTTATCACCATATGCCGCTGGTATATCTACACATCATTAATCATCATATCAACCAAGTCCTAGGAAAAGTAAAGTCCAATGGAAGTATTATCTCATGTCTTTAATATAAGAGCTAGTTGACTAATCTGAATAAATTAAGAAAATTAGTTAAATTAATTCCTGATAATAAATAAGTGTTATCTTTCTTAAAATATCTTTATTAATCAAGTGTATTGGTTAGAACTACTGTTATTATTATAAGAACTATCTTAGAAAAAATAGATAAATATAAGAGGCAAAGTGGATTATTAGGGTCCTATATTTATGAATAAAATAAAAGTTAAAAGTACTCTTATATCAAGGACCGGAGGTAATGGTACATTTAGGTCTTAATAAAAAATATATGATCAAACTTACCGCATCCAAAATTGTCTGGGGATCACCGAGAAAGCATTCTACTTTTCCTTTACCATAGCTACCAATTACAGCATCAAGTGTTCTGTTAACCAAAAAATGTATTATATTACTTCCGGTCTTTAATATAAGAGTTAATTAATTAATTTGAGTAAATTAAACAAATTTATTAAATTAACTATTGGTAATAAATATGTATTATTATTTTTTCTAAACTACCCTTGTATTAGCTAAAACTACTATTTGATGAAATTTTTAACTTGTACAACTACTATAAGCATTACTTTGAAAAAATAGATAAATATAAGAGACAACATGAATTTGGGTCCTATATTTAGGATTAAATTGAAAGTTAAACTAACTCTTATATATGTTAAAGTTCGGAGGTAGTATATTCTACTAGTGCCATTTAATTTGGAGTGTTTAATTTGTGGCGGTTTGGGGGGGGGGGGGGGAATACATCCCTCAAACCTTCAATCCAACCAGGAAAAGGTTCCTTGTAGGTACTTGTGATCATGGTAGGGCGTATGATAACTAATGGAATCTCATTTTTAAAATCCGACACCAACATCTCTCCCATTGCTTTTGTGAATACGTAAGTGTTTGGCCATCCATACAAGTTTGCTCTGTTTTTTGCGTCAAGCAAAGTTCGTAGTACAATAAGAACTGAAGATTATTTTGCAAAAACAAAAACATAAAGATGGATATATATAATGAACATGCATGTGATAGAACCTCTTAATTCCGAAATCTTTCATTGCAGACGTAATAGCCATGTCGTTGTCAGTATATTGTGATCTGAGTTGTTCAATTGTTTTTTGAATCAATGTCTTTTCTGCGTAAAAATCTAAGACTTTTGAGGCGTCGTTTAGGGTTTGACCCATCCGTAAAGGTTCCTCCTTAATCAGTTCTCCTTCCCGAGGCTCTCCACAAATGTAAGCTGAAATCAGTAGCACGTAGCAGAGAGCGAGCACAAATTGTTAGGCTCTTGTAGATCAGAATATGTACAAAATTCTAAAAGGGTGTCCATTTAAATGACATCCAAGTTTCTGAGAAGAAGATGAAAACTTTTATGATTAAGCATACCTGTTGATAGGTGAAGAAAAACTTGGATCTTACGGCAACTCTTGGCGAAGTTTAACACATGTAAAGCCCTCATCGTGTTAATCTCCATAGCGATGTCACATCTGGTTGAAATAGCAAAATACTACTTTCATTTAAAATAGAATTAAAATCTATGTATCTAACCAAAAAATAATAACTGCTAGGCGGTCCAAAATGACAGTTTCATACCAAATACTCCTCCGGTCCTAAATATAAGACCATTATATAAGGGTCTTATATTTAGGACCCTACAAGTATCCAATTTCCGAAGGAGTTTTTTTTTTTCTGCCGCTAGTTTTAGAAGAAATAATAATTAATTAAAGAAGTAAAAGAACAAAAAAGCTATTTTGATGGTTTATGATTCTAATGCAGCATAAAGGGATAGTTGTGTGCGTGTGTGTGTGAGATTAGTTTGAAAGGATTCTAGGCAACGGAAATTCTTTTTTATGATCCAAGTTATTTTCTAGCTTTCTAATGTATTATTTGTCTATTATTTCAAAAGATAATTATTTTAGAACTCAATGAATAATTATTTGCAGCGAAAAAAGATTCCAGTGACTTTATGAATTTAAAATAGTAGAACAATAAATGATATTGAATAATTTTCCAGTTTATTTTGAAATCGACATTAATTCAGTCTCAGTATCTAATAAATAATGCCTCTAATAAACAGTGATTAGTGTAACTCATGTTTTAGAATGGGTGAATTTCATGGCCATGATGATGATGGTGAAAGAGTTTTCATCTCGGAAGAAGAAAATGTAACTCAATTTTCATTCCTTATTCAGTCTGTAATGAAAAAGAGTGAAAATTAAGTTTCCCATTGGTTGCGCGCGCGCGCAGATATATGTACCTTTCATCAAAGTTGGTATTAGCAGCAAAGTTGGCAATGACGTCTATTTCCTCCCACATCTTTTCAAGATTTGCATTTTTAATCCCCAAATTTGGAACAGAAACATCTCCTGCAACAGCAACTACCTTCTCTGCCAGCAGAGATTCAAAATCCGCACCCCATTTTTCCCGTAAAACTCTAAACAGCTCCTTCCTTATAATCTATAAATATATATACACATATGATAGATTTATCAATGTATAAATTACTGAATAAGCTAGGCTGAAAACAACCATAACGATCACTTGATATATATATATATATATATGTACACTTCATCATGCATGCGATGTGTGGCTGCCTCAGAGTCAGAAGCTCTGAGAAGAAGATACAATTTCTTCAAATCTGATTGAATCCTTAATAACTTGTCCACAAATACTATCACATTTCAAATTCATTTGTTAACCCCAGAGTATATGTATATGCAGAAACAATTCATTTCAAAGAGTGTGTGTGTGTGTGTGTGTAGAGAGAGAGAGAGAGAGAGAGAGAGGAAACTAAACCTTTTGCTAAAAAGCCAGTTGCACCGGTGACCAATATAGTCTTTCCCCTGAGAAACTGTGTTACACTTGCCACCTCCATTTTGAAGAAGCAGAGTTTGTTGTTTCTCTTTTGTGAAGATTATATTGACACGATGATATATATTCTCTTCCAATATTATATTATTGTATTTATAGTAGTAGTTGCATATAGCACCCTGTTTCTTATTATAAGTCACTTGTATCCCAAACCCACAAACCAAGAAATACATCAAATTAATCAGTTTTTTTTTCATATTTACCCTTATTAAAAGGTGAGAGAGAGAGGGAGGGGAGGGACTGCATAGAAAATGAAAAGTTGAGAGAAAGATAGAGAGGGAGAGGAAAAAGGACGTGTTTCGAAGAGTCATTACTTCATACTTAAATTATGGACGTACGAGATCGTCTTGGATTACCTGCCCCTGTACAATCGAGAGATTATGGCCGTTGATTTGATCCCTCCGTCCACAGCATGCCATGAGTCTGACTATTAGAAAATTCAAGTCTAATTATTATCCTAGCTCCCAGTGCACAAACTAATTAATGACATTTCGAACGTCTTTTATCTGCTTGCGCACTCTGCAATATACATGAGCCTATAGTAAATAGAGCGATACTGTAACAAGTGATGATTCATCAATTTTTGGTATGTGGTTGTGGTGTGCCGTCACTTTCGATCGACAGGCTGCTTCTTTCATATGCAAAACTACCAGAAACGTGCTCAAATTCTGGATCATGCAGGGCACCGATTTGTTTTGAAAACTACTTCTGGATCTTGTTCAAGTATTGTCAGCTCTAATTAAGGCTCTATTTATAACACCGCAGGCTACTCTCATCTTAAATATTAGAACTAGACAGCCAATTTACACATATTTTAAAAAATTAGTTAAACTGTCTGTAATAAATATGGACTGGTTTTTCTGAAAGACCTTATTTGATAGTTACCCTGGAACTCCCTATTTCATATATGTAATTATTAGAAATAGCTCTAAAAATGCTTATAAATTTTATTACTACCTGCAATTTTAATTATAAGACCTGGTTTGTAGATTATAAATAAGATCTTATAATTAGAACAGAAAGTAATATTATCTTTTTAATTAATTGACAAAAGATCACTATGTGTAAGAGGCACGTCCCTAACTAGTCCTAACGCTAGGGGGCATTTAATTGCCCCATGAAATTAAGATCCCATATATTCATAAATGTTTTTTTTTGGGTATAATTAGGAGTATTAACGTCTACGCTTTATTATTAATGAAGCTACCGATTCATTTACTGGACGTTGACAAAACTTTTGTTGTTTTTTTTTTTGTCCTTGGTTGGGGGGAGGAATTGTTTTAAGACATAATTCTAAACGCATGTAATCTAACTACTCTTTGCTCAAGGATAAAAACACTTTAAGGATTGCAGAAAAAATTGTTGGTGGTGCGATGAGATCAAATAATAAGAACATAAAATTGTGCATTGTATGCTTAATTAATAAAAATTAAATTTTAAGGACTAAATCAATAATTGAGAGAAACTTCAAGAACCAAATCTTTCATTATCCACACACACACATATCCATTTTGGGGAAGGAGTTGTTAGGAGATTCTGTCATCGTAAAAAGAGGATTTTATGGACCTTGCGGCATAGAGAAAACAAAAATTTACGATTATATAAATAACGTTTTTTACTATACCCAAAAAAAGAAGAAGAAATGACATTAAAAAAAATTGAAAATCATAACGTAGTTTAGGCATGTAAGAGGTTGAAATTTCAGGAGATGAAGTAATGTCTGATTTGGTATTTTGCAAATACAGTTAAATATTAAAAATACCCTTATCTCAAAAAGTTTATTAATAAGTTTTGAACGGGTAATGACAAATATTTACCCGAATTAAATATATATCTGGTTAGTAAAAAAAATTTCAGTTATAACCGAAAAACCGAATTAAATATATTATATATTTATATTTAATAAATATAATAATAATAAATATATATGTGTGGGTTTATGTGAACTCTTTAAATATATTTATATTCAACAAATATGGTTAAAATAACTCATATTAAATGATGAAATATTTATTAATTAATGATTTTAATTATATTTTTTAATTATTTTTAATTTAAAATCACTTTTCATATTTATATATTTTGGTTAATTGGTTAACCTAACCAAAATATTTCGGTTAATTCGGTTTCGGTTTCGGTATTTATAATTTGCTTTATTTGGTTATTCGGTTAATTCGATTATCACCAATAACCGAACAAAACAGTCGAATGCTCACCTCTACAGGAAATCACAACATTCTAATTCAGGCATGTAAGAGGTAAAAAATTTTAGGAGAGGAAGTAATGTCTCATATGATATTTTGCAAATATAATTAAATGATAAAAATACCCTTATCTCAAAAAGTTTATTAACAAGCTATGAATGGGTAATCAGAAGTGTTAAATAACAAATGACAAAAAATATATTAGTAATGACAAGTTATTCATTAATAAGTTGTGAATTGGTAATAACAAGTGTTGAACAATCAATGACAAAAAATATACTGATAATAACAAGCTTGATAGGTTTTTTTTTTTTAAAAAAAATCTGATATAAAAACATTTTAGTCGTTTGATTGTATTTTTAAAATACCAGGTCAAATGCCATATCTTCTATTAAGATTTTGATCTTTTAGATGTTTAATATATGTATATGCAGAAACGTACAATTCATTTCAAAGTGTGTGTATATTTATATATATATATATATATAGAGAGAGAGAGAGAGAGGAAACTAAACCCTTTGCCAAGAAGCCAGTTGCACCGGTGACCAATATAGTCTTTCCCCTGAGAAACTGTGTTACACTTAGGGGTGTTCATAGTGCCCGCATGCCCGGTGCGCCCGCTCGAGCCTGGAAAAAAAAAAGCCCGGCCCAGCCCGAAAAAATGTAGCCTAAACAAAAAAAGAGCACTTTTGGGCAGGGCCCAACACGGGCAGGGCCGGGCAACGGGCAAGGTACCCGGCCTTGCCCGTTTGGCCCTGCCCGGAAGTTTTTATTTATTTTTATTTTTTTTTCATTTTCACTCTCCAGAGTCCAGTCTCCAGTCTTGAGTCCACTCTCCACTGATCCACTCCATCAGTCCGTGGTCCGCCTTTCATCACTTCATCAGAAATTCAAAACCCTACCCATTTACCCAACGCGGTTACTTCCCCCCTACTTTCAGTTCTGAGTCGCTCCCCTGCCTGTCGGTCTCGGACTCTCGGTCGCTCCCCTGCCACTCGGTCTCGATCGCTCCCTCCCAGTGCAGTCTCTGACTTCCGCGTGCTGTGACTGCTCACTGTTGTCTCTGATTTGAAGACTGAAGCTCGCTGAATACTCCAGCTCAACGAGTCGTTGCTCGCCTGGATCTTGCCTCTCACCGAGTAGTCTCTTGGTATAGACCATTTCTTCCTCCTTTTTCACTATCTGGAGAAATATTATGCTCTACAAACCTCACCTTGTCGGTCTCGGTCACTCCCAGTCTCCCACCTCACCTTGCTGTCTCTCCGATCTGAAGCTCGTCGAGTAGTCTCTCGGTATCTCTCGGTCGCTGTCTCTTCAATCTAAAGCTCGCCAAATACTCCAGATCAACGCCTCAACCACCATCACGTCTCTCGGTCACTCGTTGCTCCACGGCTCCAATCTCCACTCGGTGAGTTGCGACAGCACGGATTCCTTTCTCCAGTCTCCACGCATGTCTCTGTATCATATGATTGTATTTGATTCTGGTTTGATTTAGTCGCCTGATTGTGCCATTTGATTATGCTTGGATTATTTCTGATTTTCTGTTTCACAATTCATATAATGCTGTTTCTATGGAGGTGCATGAGATATTCACAATTCATGTGTTTTGTAATTGTATCTACAAGCTCAGGCCTGCCGTGTCTATTCAAAAAAAAATAAGTCATGTAATGCCATGTTCGTTTTAGTTTGCAAGAATTTGAGATAACAAAGAAATAAATGGTTCTGCTTCAGTGCTTCTACCGTGAAATAAGTGGCAGAGTTGGAATAGCAGAGTCATCTGTAATTACTGCCATGTTCGTTTTAGTTTCCAAGCATTGCTCAATTTTTTTTTAATAATTTGTTTTAGTATTTGGAATAGCAGAATCATTTTAAATGAATCAATTAAATCAAATGGTATATCGTGAGTTGTACTTCATATCAGTATTATTGTATCAATTCAAATTTCTTGCCATGATTCATTTGTCACAGTATTTCTTCAGTCTCCACTTGTGTTTGTATGATATAATGCTATTTGATTCTACTTTGATTCATTTGAAATTTCTGCTATTTGATTCTGCTCCTATTCATTTAAAATTTCTTGCTATTTGTGTATTGATATATTTTTAAAAAATAATTTGTTCATTATATGATATTGCAACTGCAATGGATGATAAAACTTCTATTACATCACCATCCCCGGTTGTTGGTGGAAGGTCTCAAGCTGCTTCAGCCCCTCTTCAAACACCAATCTCTATTGGACCTAATCAAACACCAAATCCTAATAGACCTAATGAAGTTGCTGCCCCTAGCCCTATTGTTCCTGTTCAACCTCCATCTCATCCTGTCCTCCCTCCCCTTGCTCCTTCTCCTACCCCTACTCCCCCACAAACAAATTCTGTCACACCGGAAACAAGTATTGATGAAAGGGGTACAAAGAGGAAGGCAAGAGAAACTAAGCACACATCAGAGTTTTGGGAATATTTTGTTAGATTGCCAATAGAAGAAACTAATGGAGTTCACTTAGCAGCTTGCAAGTATTGTCATACTACTTATAAAGCTGATCCAAACCGTCATGGGACAAATTCTTTATTAAGGCATATCCCAAAATGTTCAAAGAACCCTCATAAAGCCACTACAGATAAAAAGCAATCTATGTTAACTCTTTTGTCGGGCAAGACTAGGGGTGGGAATAGGCCAGACGGCCTGTCAGGGGCCTGTGGCCTGGCCTGTAAATGGCCTGGCCTGGCCTGGCCTATTTAACCACCAGAACAGGCTCAGGCCTGTGAAAAGGCCTGTTTATCTTATCAGACCAGGCTCAGGCCTGATAATAAGCCTGTTAGGCCTGTCAGGCGGCCTGAGCCTGTTTTCTTTTTTTATTTATTTTAAGGTTAAAATTGTAATTTCACAGGGGTTAGAAATTTAACCTAAGTCACTACTCTCCCAAGTCCCAATCTTCTTCGGCTCGTCCGTTTCTTCTTCGGCTCGTCACTTCGTCAGTCCCAAACTCCCAATCTCCCGTTTCTTCTTCGGTTCTGGACGGTCAGTCCCAATCTCCCATTTCCGTCTCCCATTTCCTTTTCGGCACTCAAGAGTCAAGACCTCACTTCGTCCTTCCAGTTCCAGGGTTCTCTACTCTCCAGTCGGCGCTCGGCAACGGAAAACAGCAGACAGCAGAACTCAGAAGGTAGTCGACGGCGGCGCACGGGCTGACAGCGGCACATTCAGGTACCCAGTAGCTAATTGCACACGCTTCCCTTCTTCCCTTCTTCCATTTTGTTCTTCGATTGATCGCTGCGTTTTTTATTCCGTCATCGTCTCATCGATATAAATTTGCTGCCTTTGCATTTTCGATTCCATCGCTGTGTTTTTTATTCCATTTTGTCAAGCTCTGCCTATTGATTCTTTCATGCAGGCTCTGACTTCTGAATTCTGATCTGCCGATGCCATTTTGAATTTTGATTCCATTTTGTCAAGATCTGCCAACAAGTAAGTCGAGTGTTGTAGCCTTCTTATCTGTTGTGCTTTGAATTTAAACCAAAAAAAACTTGCCTGAATTTTAGCCATTAATTAAATTTGTATAATTGAAAAATTTGCCCTGATGTTATTGTATTTGGTTCTGATAACTTGGTTTGTGATTGATATATAGGTTGGAGTCATTCTTAGTTTGCTGGTATTTGTGATTGATATATCGGTTGGAGACTTGGAGTTATTATTAGTTTTTTGGTATTTCGATCACTCATGTGGATTTAGTGACATAGCTTATGGCATCTCATAGTTGAATTATCACTTATCAGTGTGTATAGATATTAGTACCCTGTAGGCTGTAGCTTTCACTCATCCAAGATAAAGGGTTCTTTAGTTTCAAGTCTACGTTACCTCCTTCGCTCATCAGCTTCATTATTGTCAGTCACCTATGATTTATTGTAGCACTGCTGTCATGAATCACCATGCATGCATGTATTTGGTTTTGTTGTATATATCATCATCTTCGGTCAATATAAATTAATCTTTCATTTTCTTAGTAGGCGTTCTCCTTGTAATATATATCTTCCTCCTTAGTAGGCGTTCTGATTTTTTGTTGTTATTGAGTTCTAGTTAATGTCAACTCCACTTGGAAGTGAAACAATGTCATCCAATTCAGTTCCTCTTAATACAATTGCAACTAAGGTCAATTAACAAGCACCAACAGATTCTAGTCAACAAACTAATGATGAGAATGATGGTGCTGATTGTATCATTCAGAAAAAGAGGCGAAAAACTTCGGGTATTTGGGAGGAAATGGACCAAGTTGAGACTGATAATGGGCTCAAAGGTAGATGCAAGTATTGCAAACAACTATTTGCATACTCAGGTAAGGGAGCTAGCACTTCCCATCTTTGGAGACATGTTGGATCTTGCTTGCAAAGGAAGTTGCACAGTTCTTCACAACAAAAGCAACCCACCATTCCATTCCAACCTTCTAATCAGAGTGTTAATCCATTTATAGCACCTGGTGCTAGATATTCTAATGAAAAGATGAGGGAAATAATGGCTACTGCAATTATGGTAACAAGAACAATTGTGTTAATTTGGTTATTTCATATTTCTTGTTTGTATTTTGGATAATTTGGATTAAGTTATTGTAATTTTGAATGGATTTATTTATGTTTACAATTTGTTAAAAATACAGGCCTCTTAACAGGCCAGGCCAGGCCTATAAACAGGCTAGGCTTAGGCCAAATAAAAGGCCTGTGACAGGCCACAGGCTAGGCTCAGGCCAACAGGCCTCATCACAAGCCTGGCCTGTTAAGGGTGAGGCCTGGCCTGGCCTGGCCTGTTTCCACCCCTAGGCAAGACTAGTGGCCAAGGAAGATCTCTAGTTACACATGTATATGATGAGAAACGATGTAGAAGAGCTTTAGCTGAATTTATTATCTGTGATGAGCAACCATTTAGAATTGTGGAGAAGCCTGCATTTAAGAAATTGTTGAATGAGTTTGAACCTCGCTTTCCAATCCCATCAAGAACAACAATTGGAACAGATGTGTGGCAATTATATCTTGGAGAAGTTAAAGTATTGAAGAAATTTTTGAAACAGAGTACTAAACGTGTTTGTCTCACCACAGATTGCTGGACATCAAATCAGAATTTCAATTACCTATGCTTGACAGCACATTTTGTTGATGATGAATGGAAGCTTCACAAAAGAATTCTCAATTTTGTTATGATTGAAAATCATAGAGGTGATACTATAGGGAGGACTATTGAGCAATGCTTGTTAGATTGGGAGATTGAGAAAGTGTTCACTATCACTGTGGATAATGCCTCAGCTAATGACTCAGCTTTGGGATATCTTAAAAGACGTTTGAGGAGTTGGAAGGGCTTACTTTGTGACGGTGATTATCTACAATTAAGATGTTGTGCACATGTCCTAAATTTAGTGGTCAATGGAGGTATTAAAGAAATGAAAGACAGCTTTGAAGCCATTCGAAATGCTGTGAGATATGTTCGTTCTTCTCCTTCACGCTCCCTAAGATTCAAAGCTTGGGTTGAAGCTGAAAAAATAGACACTAAAAGTCTTGTTTGCCTTGATGCATCCACTCGATGGAATTCAACATACTTAATGTTAGAAGCTGCAATGAAGTTTCAAAAAGTGTTTGAGCGAATGCGTGATGAAGATGATGACTATATTTCATACTTCAGCTCAAGCACTTCAAGCTCTAGGCGTGAGCGTGGGGCTTCTAGTTCTGCTAGGCGTGAGCAGGATAGCTTTTCTGATCCTGTTACTGATGATTGGAATAATGCTCGGATTTTCATCAAATTCTTGAAGGTCTTCTATGACATAACATTGAAATTTTCAAGCTCCCTTTCTGTATCGGCAAATGAATATTTCCACCAGATTGCTCGGGTTCAGAAAATGCTGCAAAGAAATATCACAAATAATGCTAATAGCTTCTTGAGAGAAATGAGCACTAGCATGCAGGTGAAATATGACAAGTATTGGGGTCAAGCAGACAATATGAATCCATTGCTTTTTGTGGCTGTCATTTTGGACCCTCGATATAAACTAGCATATGTGAATCATATGTTTGATCTTCTTTATGCTGATCCTGAAGTATGCTTGATTATGAAGGAGAGGGTTAAAGATTGTTTGTATCGGTTGTTTAATGAGTACTCTGCTGGGGTTTCTATTGACTCAGGGA